ATTTTCAAAATATTTAACTTTATTTAGAAAAAATTTCTCCAAAGAAATGGAAAAATCTGTTTTGGTCCTTCAAAAATATTTGTTGTCTTGTGTGTGAAATGTGCTTTTACCTACTGCTCGTTTTTTCTGCTGCCTTTTTGCTACTTTTGCCTTTTTCAAGCTAGCCCTTTTCTACTTTTAGCTACAGTTTTGTTGCTTTTAGTTACCATTTTACTTTTTATCTTTTACTATATATTTGCTATTTTTAATTTCTATCTGTTCGTTTTCTACTTTTAGTGTTTAGCTGCTCTTTTTTTACTTTTGTCTTTTGCTGTTTTTCTACTTTTGCTTTAATTGACTGTTTCTATTTTTAGCATCTAGCTAATCTGTAAATGATTTTAACTAGATATTTTCTACTTTTAGCATTGAAATACATTTTTGCTTCTTTAGCTTTAGCTACCTATTTCTGACTCAATAATACCCAATATTTTTCCACTAGAAGAAGAGCTCGAATTTTGGCACGTTTAGCTTTTAGCCAGTTTTATTTCTATACTTGTTTTCTAGCTACCYTTGTGCTTCTTTGGGCATTATAGCCTACTACTTTGCTGCCTTTAGTTACAGGCTTTTTTTGTATTTAACTATTTTTTACAGTTTTACGTTTTAGCTTCTCGTTTTTTTATTTTTGCTGCTCTTTAGTTTTTAACTTGATTTTTGCTACTTTTATCTTTTAGTGTTTTAGTTGGTGTTTATTTACTAGCTATCTACCTAGCCTTTAGCCTTTAAATGGTTTTAACTAGACGTTTTCTACTTTTATCGTTTAAATACATTTTTGTTACTTTAGCTTATCTATTTCCTACTTTTTGCTTTTAGCCAATGTTTTACTTGTTTTACCTTTTTATCTTGATTTTTGGCATTTTTAGCTTTTAGCCAGTATTTTTCTACATTTGCTTTCTAGCTACCATGCTACTTTGAACATTTAGATAACCTTTAGCTATTTTTAGTTAATGTTCTGCTTCTTTTGGCTTTTAGCAATATACTGCTGCTTGTCTTTTAGCTAGTATTTTGCTTATTTTACCTTCTAGCTAAATTTAGCTATACTTAACTTGATTTTGGTTTTCCTAGTTTTATCTTTGAAACCTAATTTTGCTAATGTTAGCTCATTAAACGAGTGTTCTGCTTCTTTTAGCTTTAACAACACAGTTTCATCTTGATCAGAACATTTGCTTGTTGATATATTTTTTTGTAAATATTCTCTTAAAACAGTATATTTCTGCAAATTAAAGGTTTTAGCTTGAATAGGTCCTGGAAGGTTTTTAAACAAATTGCCTTCAATGAAAAACCTGATGATTCTTCAAAGTTTTAGTTGTTTCAGAAAAATCAGTCAGTCCTATCAAGTGCATTTTTATAACTTGAAACAAAATCTACAGGTCAATTAAAGATTTAATCACCTCCTCTCTCTTTTTGTATTTTCTCCTCCTGTGCAGAACACAAGGTTGTTTTTCTGGACGGGCCTGAATCGTGTTCTGGCAGAGTGGGGATAGAACAAGGCGACAGAACCTATTGGCTCTCCGGGTCCGAGGAGACGTGGAACCAAAARGCAGCGAACAGCGTGTGCCAACAGTTGCACTGTGGGAAAGCTAAAAACTTTACGTCTGAGTCTTATAACGATACCACACCTGTTTGGAAGGAGGTTTACAGCTGCTCAGACAAACACAAGTCTTTGTTTGAATGTAAAAAAACTCGGCTCGACCCTGCATCTGTCTTCAACATGACTGTTGCCAACGTGATGTGCACAGGTAAGCTGGCATCTGTTATGTCTGTCAGCAAAATATTTTATTGATCAGCGCAGGTTTTAATCATCAGACGTACACCTCTGACTGATTAACTTTTAGAGAAAACACAAATCCATGTGGCGATACACAATATGTGATACTTCCCTCGCTTTTTTCATTTTTTAATTTCTAAAAAGTTTATTCATTTCTTTCAGCAAAACAAAACAAATTCTATATAAAATAAGAAATACGATCACAAATTTCTCAGGATATGATGACATCTGTATCCCTTATTTATTTTATTCTGTCACTGGTTGTTGAACGTGCAACAAATCGTTTTAAACCTAAACCAAATGAGTCTAATCTATGGAAAAACTTGATGTTTTTCTTGATTTGTTGAAGCTTATCTTAAAATCTTTTGATTGTAAAATGTTGCTTCTCAGGACAAATTACAGTGAGCCTGACCAGCACCTGCTGGGGGTACGTCACCGTCTCTGCGGAAGGGAAACGTGGAGGTATTTATGCAGAAACCTGGACAGAGGACATGTCCAAGAAGCTGTGTGAAGAACTGAAATGTGGGGACAAGATCAAGCCTGTAAACACTCCGACTGACCAAAGTAACATTATCTGGAAGAGTCTGCACGCCAGAAGCCAGACCACCTCTCTGAACAAGTACACTTTTGTCCAAATGGGCAGTGGTATAAATGACATTATTAGGGGCAGTTCTGCAAAAGCCTATGTTGTCTGCAAAGGTAAGAATGTTTTTATAATGTAACAAATGTCTTTTTTCTCAGTGTTAAACAAAATTCAATTTGCATTAGATTTTGCATCATTAGTTTTCCTGAACAATTTGTTTTATTTCTTTCTTACTGAACAGAACAAGCAATATTATTTAAAAAATAAGAAATCAGCTTTTTTTTGCAAAAATACTGAACAATTGTTAAAATTAAAGCGTCAGAACAAAAGCTGAATTCAACAAAACAGCAGCTAAAAGCTAAATTTAGCACAATACGAGATAGAAAGTGT